CCCAGTAATCTTTGTGTCTTCTCTCAGAAAGTAATGTATTTGATTGAAAATAAAATAGTATAAATGAGTTTTGAACAACATGAACCTCTGCTGTTAAACTACAGCTCATTCCAAAAACAAGAAATTTCATGTATACTCCATTTTAGGGAACCAGAGCAAAAGTTATTAGCTCTGTGGCAAAAGTTATTATCTCTGTGTGCTTCCCTCAAATCCTGAGTTCTTTTGCTAAACTCAGGGATGACATGGTGAAGAACAAGTCTTGTAACCAATTTTAAAATAATTTTAGTTTTAAACTTTTGCTGTAACCCAAAGTACTACGCTAGCCTCTGAGTAAAGGGAGAATAGGAAGTAATAGGCAAAGTAATATGAGCAGCAGTTATAAGGGTCAATATGAGACATTTTTTTAGCTGCAAGTTACAGAATACCTTACCAATAATGGCTTAAGCATTAAAGGTTGTTATTAACCTTGATGGAGGTTAATGTTTCTGGGTTTAGTGTTGTGGCCCAGTGATTTCTTTGAGGACCCAGGATCTCTGTCTTCCTGTTCTGCCATCAACCGTATGTTGGTATTTTAGTCATAGTTGCAAGATAAGTATCCTGGGTCTAATCTTAATGTGTCCATTAGTATCTCAAGCAAGAAAAAGGGGGCCAAGGGGAAAGGCTTTCTTTTTTTTTAAACTCTGCCTTTTATCTGGGAAGGTAGAGCTTTCCAAGAAGCCCCACCATCTTAGTTTTCTTAGCTAGATTTGAGCCACATGGCTCCCCATAACTGCAAGAGAAACTGGATAAGTGAATATTTAGGTTTTCTAGCTTCCATGGTAGAAAGGAGCAAGGTTGAAGAGGGTTGAGGATGGCTGTGTGTCAGCCACCAACAATTTTTACCACAGGGGCACAGCATGGCCGCTGCTTTCTCTGGTTGATAAGGAGAGGGATCATCAGGTTGAGGGTGTAGGGAGACATAGTGTAGTGACCTTCATCTGTGTCCTCTGCAGTCTCACTTGCTCTAAAAGCTTTGGGTGTTTTTTGTGCTGATTATACAAATGAGAAATTATTGAAGTGAGCAAATGATTAAAGTGGTGCTGTATCCCATGGAGACTTACTTGATCCTCCATAATTGTGGTCAGCATTGAGTGACCAAGCTAACTTACACAGAAGATGAATGGTTTAGTGACTGGCTTTTTCAGGGAAAATTACTCATTTATATAATGGAGCCTACTCGCCATTTTGAGATTCAGTTAACAATTTAAAGCCAAAATGTTCTTTCTTTTGTATTTTTCAGTATACTAGAATGAGCACTTGAGTGCCATTATGTGGTGTTCAAATGGCCAGGGGTGGGGTGGGGGAGGAACCTGGTACACAGATCCTCAGTATTTATTTCCAGTGGATAGTTTATTTGATTAAATGACTGTGGTCATCTTACACTTGTCTGCTTACATGTTTTTAGTGCACGAGCATAGCTGTGTCTCGGAAATGGTTGGCTTTGGGCAGTTCAGGAGGAGGTCTCAACCTCATTCAAAAAGAAGGCTGGAAGCACAGGCTCTTTCTTTCACACAGGGTAAGATTAACATACTCTGTCATTCCATTCAGAGTATCTTTCATAAGTGCCAATTTCTCCATTATAAATAATCATTTGGAATAAAAGAAAAATGTAAAAGCTGAGATTTAAAAGTAAAAAAAAAAAAAAAATACCATTTTTGAGAAGCTGCCTGAAATTTTTCCTTTTTGTGCTCTAGGAAGGTGCAATTTCTCAGGTTGCCTGTTGTTCACATGATGATGATTATGTTGCTGTAGCTACCAGGTGAGAAACTGTTTTAAAACTATCTGATCCTGTCCAAATGCAGTTTAAATGAACAAATGTAGCTGTGTGTTTGTTAGGGTGACCAGCCATCCTAATTTGCCTACGCTGTCCCAGTTTTTAGCACTGAAAGTCCTGTCTTGGGAAACCTCTCAGTCCCCAGCAAACCAGGATGGACAGTCAGTTGCCCTAGTGTTTGTGGAAAATGCTAATATGAGGCAACAGCATTTTAGTGGCCTTCAAAGAGAAAGATAACAGACATAATTTAGGTCATCTGAGTTCTGTTATGCTGGATTGGTAGACTAATGCAAGGAAATTAATACCTTGACTTTCTATTTCCTCTTTTCTGAAGAACAAGTTTACATATATATTTAATATAGTTGATACTGCAATGCAATTAAATTGTACGTTTTTCACCATTGCCAAAAATTTGTTCCTGTCATTCAATTCTTGCAGTCAAGGTCTTGTAGTTGTTTGGGAATTAAATCAAGAGCGTCGTGGGAAACCAGAACGAATTTATGTGTCTTCAGAACACAAGGGCCGAAAAGTTACAGCTCTCTGTTGGGATACAGCAGTTCTTAGAGTTTTTGTAGGTGATCATATGGGGAAAGTTTCGGCCATCAAACTCAATACTTCTAAACAAGCAAAGGTGAGAACCAGTTCAGTTCTTTGTGTATATGGGTGAGATAAAAGGTGTTGTCTCACAGAATTTCAAATAAAGGGCACAATTTTATCTACTGAATTTCTTGGGGGACTGATCTAGAGCCCAGAATATTAATTTTGAGGAGATTTGTTAGTATGTGGTACATATGAGAGCCTAGTTTAGCTTGATGCTGTTGCAGAATGGCTTCTGTGAGCTAACTTCAGTAATTTACACTTTGTATCTTACACTACTCCATAATTTACCTGTATGGCTAACTTAAATAAAGCATTCTTTAATACCAGGGTATTAAAAAAGATGCCTGTTTATTAATAGTGTGAATAAAATGCCAAATAGAAATGGCACCAATTGCCCAGGCTCCTTTGTAAGGGGAGAAGAAATTCACAGGTCTAGGTATATTTTCCCTGAGGATGGTGTAACTTATTGTGAATGGAATCTTAAAGCCACCTCCTGGATTGTACTCAGCTGTGCAGGATCCCAAGCTTCCCGTCATAGTTATTATTGGAATAGAAGGGCTGAGCGTCAGGTTACCCTACCAGAATGCTCCAGTCTGTCATTAAGCCAGCTTCTCACGGTCTCTCTCCTCCAAAAGAAGTGGAGAGCTTGTCTTTTCATTGGCTTATTTCGGCGTAGGGTCCTGGCAGAAAAGAGGAGATCTAACTATCATTGGCTAAATTACTTTATTTTAATTAACATAACAGAATATTCTTCCGGTTTGGTCATGATGACCCATCAAAGTTACCACTTGATTCTTTATATTTTTGATCCAAAATACCCGACACAGTACAGCCCTAATTTGTCTTTCTTCCAAAGGTAGAAGTACTGTCTACAGGTGAAAAATTCCCTTACAAATTTGAAAACTTGCTTTATCTTTTTATTCCAACTTCTGAAATTAGATCATTACAAACAGAGCCTTAAGAATTCTCTTTTGCAGTTGTGTACCAATTTATTTCACATTACTTTGATATTCCAACAGGCAAATTAAATTTTGGCCCATTAAAAGTTTTTATTTTGCTATTCAAGGTATTTTCATTTAAAAGGTAGAGAAGAAGATTATGTGTATATGTAATGATAAATAAACTTTATTTCTTTGTCATGTTCCTTTTAGGCAGCTGCTACCTTTGTGATGTTTCCTGTTCAGACAATAACAACAGTTGACTCATGTGTTGTCCAGTTAGATTATTTGGATGGAAGACTACTTATATCTTCACTCACTCGATCCTTCTTGTGTGACACTGAAAGGTATATTGACCAACCGTGGGTCATTGAAAATACAGAATTTTAGAACTGGAGGGCACTTAGATGTCATCTAGCCCAAACCCCTCAGCTTAATTATACAGATATTAATAAGGAACCAGCTGTGTGCAAGCTGATGTTAGAGAGTAGAGAAGAAATAGAGGATACTGAGATAGTCCAGTGGGTGACCAAGACAAATAGTCTATTAACTCTATGTGAAGCATGGTCTAAGTGCCATGAAGAAAGGCCAAATAAAGGCCTGTTTTAATATGGGGAATCAGGAAGTCTTCCTTAATTGAATTTGTTGTTGTTTAAATTTGTTGTGTATTTAATGGAATTTTACTAAAGGGTAAAATTAGGTGAAGAATAATTAAGAAATTGTGAAGCTGACAAATATTCTACCTAAATCTCAAGGGTAGAGTCAAAGGTCCGATGAATGGAAAAGGAGATATTAGAGGTAGCTGTGAAATACCAGAACAGAATAGGAAACAGCTTGAAATGAATATTACGTATCACTGTGCTGAAGTTCCTCAGCCATTCTCACTATAGGGAAATTCTTACTGCCCTCCCCACCCCATATCCTCAGGACCTTCCCCCTTTTATTTTATTTTTAAATTTTAAATATATCTTTATTGATTTCAGAGAGAGGGAGAGAGAGAGATAGAAACATCTATAATGAGAGAGTGTCATCATTGATGGGCTGCCTTCTGCACTCCCCTGACTGGGGATTGAGCCCACAACCTGGGCATGTGCCCTGACCGGGAATCGAACTGCGATCTCCTGGATCCTAGGTCGATGCTCAACTGCTGAGCCACACCTGGCCGGGCAGGACCTTCCCTCTTTTAAAAATATTTTTGGAAGAATTTTGAATGTACACAAAAGAAGAGAGAATTGTATAATGAACGCACTAGCCAGCTTTAGTAATTTTGATGAGGACTTTTGGTAGGTGAAGTCTGGAGGAAGAGGTGCGGGGGGTAATATTCTAGTAGGAAGGAACAGCCCTTTGGGGAAAAGTGAGAAAGACATCAGCATATTCTAGAACCTGCCAATCTGGATTAAATAGAGGAGTTGTGGGAAATAAGTTGTTAGATTGGCACCACATTGAGAGTGACAGCTTTAAATGCCACACTAAGGTGGGTTCTCGGGTCATTTTAAGAAAGTATACATATAGAAAATCAGAGTTTGGAAATTGATTCACTTAGAACTGTCAGCCTTGGGAAGTCTTTATTTCCAGGGGTTCATGTATCTCCAGAGACTGCTATTTGGGAAAGCAGGAAATTATTTATTCCAAAAGGTTTGAGGAAATGTGTGCTGTCGGGGATGGTAGAGGAAACGATGTGGAGAGATGAACTTTGTGTTTTTTTTTCTTGAGATGAGAAAGACACATGGGAAGGAGGCCAGTTATAGCAGGTGGCAGGTGTTTGGTATCAGAGAACCTAGCTGGACAGCAGAGAGGCAAGGCTTTGAGATACAGATGATCAGTTTACATGCAATCAGTAGGAAGGATGATGCACTCGCTTCGGACTTATTTCAGACTATAGTTCACTGATGATGTTAGACTTACTGAACTGAAGGTCACCTTGTGTCACCATTTCATTTTGTGGATCAGAAAGCTGAGGTCAGAAAAGCTAGAACCTTTCTGTCTTGATTCTGTGCCCTTCCTGTTACCTCAGTTACCTCTAATACATCCTTTGACATTGGACCTTTAGCCATTAACTCCACCCTTGAGATTCTGGTAAAATATCTTAGTTTCACAAAGTTCTTAACTATTTTTCACCTATAGGTTTTCAAGTTACCAAATGGCCCAATTCAGAAATTTGGCTGAAATTCTAATAAATGGTCAGAACACTGGACTGAAAACACCTTATTAGGGTTGTTTTGAGGATATGATGAAATGATATATATGAAAGACTTTAAGAACTAAGTGGAGGTTTATTTTTCCCTCTGCAATAGAGTTGCTAATCATTCTGCTATTTCACGGGGGTGTGGCTAGAGTTGGTTATGAGAATAACGTAGAACCTACTGCTAAAATAACATTTTAGAAATGCCCAGTTTCTGTAAGCTAGAATTCAGTTTTGGGGGACGTGGATAGTACCATAATTTTAAAAATGATAATGGAGCCTGACAATATGATTTCAAATTTTGGTTCTGCTACTTTTTTATAAAAAAAACTGATTTGAAAGAGAGAGAGGAAGGTGAAGAGAGAAACATTGATGTGAGAGAGACACGTCGATCACTTGCCTCCTGTATGCACCCTGACTGGGGATCAAACCCAAAACCTGGGTATGTGCCCTGACAGGGAATTGAACCCTCAGTCTTCTGGTGCACGGGGTGATGCTCCAACCAACTGAGCCACACTAGCCAGGGCTGGTTCTGCCACTTTTTAAATCTTTCCAAATATCAATTTTCCCTTCTAGAATGTAGAGATAGTTTTCAGGATTAACTAAGATAATGTATATGAAGTACTTATCCTTGTGCCTGGCACATATTTGAAAATGTAGAAAACAAAATTAATGAGCAAATAAATGAGTCGACTGCATTTGTGCACTCAGCAAACATTTATTCTACTCCTCTGGATCCTTAGCACTGTATTAAGCATCACAGGGGATATAAAATAAGCAAGAAATATATTTTATTTCTCAAGTAAGGAACATAAGTGATAAAATCATAACGTCCTATATTGCAGATTTCAAAGCACTTCCACATTCGTGTTCTGAGAGTAAAGTTAATGTTGTATTTTATTCATGAAGGAAATACGGACACCATTATTTATTGAATTATCTGAAGTCATATAGTAAATTCACACTAGAGAGCGTATTAGATCGTTCTCCAATAAAAGGGATTGAGTGTATTCATCTAATGACAAAGTCAACAACTTTGCAACTAAAAAAAAGGGGTTTGAGTATACAGAGCACACTACATTGTATTAAGTGCTTTCGGTGGGCCAGATGCTGTGCTATATACTGAGGATTCAACCAGAGAGGAATAAGAAATGGCCTTTATTTTGGAGAAAGTCATAATCTGTTCTGCTAGACACAATTGCCATATATGATGTGGTAAGTGCTATGAAAACATAGCATGGGAAACATGTAATTCAGTTTATGGGAGTCAGGGAAGTCTCAGGAAGAATGATGGAACTAAGTCATGAAGAGTAAGAAAAGGAGTTTTTAGGAAGAGAGACATCCTCATTGTTATCACCTTCCATGTTCCCAGGCAGTGTACTAAGCTCTTTTATATATATAGCTCGTGATCATAAGGGAATAGAATTTTCCAAAGTACAGAGTTTCAGAAGGACTTAGCATTTTGAGGAAAGAGTGAGTTTGTTGGTGTTTGTGGCAGGGGAGTAGCTTGGAGATGGCTGGAGAGGTAGATTAGCTGTTCCATGTAGTGGCCAAAGAACAAGGTGATTTGGGAAGCAATCAGTAGGATTTACAGATGTATGAAATGTTAGAGTTAATGGCAAATCAGAGCTAGAGCCCTGTTTTGACCTTTCCATTCTGTTGTCCTGTCCAGTAGTATATCTCTAATATGAATAATGAGAGGACATTATGGGTGGGATTACTACGGCCATGCTGATTTGTAGTCCCATTGTTTTTGAGTTTTTTGTAGGTAAACGTGCTTTCTCTTCCTTTTTGGGTATTAGAGAAAAATTTTGGAAAATTGGAAACAAGGAAAGAGATGGAGAATATGGAGCTTGTTTCTTCCCTGGAAGATGTTCTGTGGGCCAGCAACCTCTTATATATTGTGCTCGCCCTGGCTCCAGGATGTGGGAAGTGAACTTTGATGGGGAAGTTCTAAGTACACATCAGTTTAAGAAACTCCTCTCATCGCCACCTCTCCCTGTGATTACTGTAAGGTAAGGTAATGATTTGTATGGCTGGTAGGTGGTATTTGAGGAACTTTCATGGAGGGGTTGGATTGAAATCTCTAATATTCTGTATGTGTTAAAGATTTTATTATGCCTTTTAAGAGTGAAGTAGGATTTTTATCAAAAGATTGAGAGAGCCCGGCCGGGCGTGGCTCAGTGGTTGAGTGTTGACCTAGGATCCAGGTGATCGGGGTTCGATTCCTGGTCAGGGCTCATGCCCGGGTTGCAGGCTGGATCCCCAGTCGGGGGTGTGCACAGCCGATCAATGACGACTTTCTCATTGTTGATGTTTCTATCTCTTTCTCTCCCTCTCCTTTCCTCTCTCTGAAATCAATAAAGATATATTTAAAAAAAAAAAAAAAAAAAAAATTGAGAGAAACCAAAAAGTATCAATTATCTTTCATATAATTTAAAGCAAATTGAATAAGGGTAGATGCAGTTAGGCTTTTGGGTTTGTTTGGAGGCAAAAATTTTCCTATATAACATGCTTTTATGTTGTGACAAAATTATTAATAGATGTATTTACTTCCTAGATCAGAACCTCAGTATGATCATACAGTTGGATCCTCCCAGTCTTTGCCTTTCCCCAAACTCTTACATCTTAGGTAAGTTTCTCCCTTTGATCCTTAAAACATATACACACACACACACACACACACACACACACACACAACTTTTTCTCTTTGTTCCTTGTTCAGGGACAGTTATCTTTTTAAGATTGTTATGGTATTAAATTATTTTTAGAAAATCAGGAAATGACAGTGTTATGTGAAGTGTTCTGTGTATGCGAGGAATGAAAAAATCATAGAACTATGCTTCGTTTTCTGTTTTGAACTGACCTAAACTAATTGGACAGTTTATCATTGCCAGGGAACTTCTGACAGTTAGAGCTAAGAGGTACAGGTATGCATTCATTCATAACCTCCCCTACCTGGTGTAATGTTACAGTTAAAGCAAGTCTCAGTCTGAAGTCTGCTGCACATACGTATGTTTCTTAGCAGGCAGGGACAAAAGTAGTTGTAGAACTTGTAAGCTTGGTGAAACTTCAGTTCTTGGTCTTTAGGTACTTTGACAAGGACCTTGCATGAAAGATTCAGCCGGTCATATTTTAATATCAGGGTTCAGTTAGTCTTCTGGTTGGATTAGATGCAAACGTCCATTATTAAGTGGCAACACAGAGTGTCACTAAAGGCTGTCAGCTGCTGGGCTTGCCATTTCTTATACCTTGTTCTGCAAGCATGGGGATGCCAGTATGATTTCCAGCCGATCTATGTGTCTGGAACTCTACTTATTTCAATAATGGAAAATTATTTGATTAATACCTAATATCTCTAATGCAGATTCAGAGAATGTTATTTAGAACTGGTTATAGGTACCCTGGAGTGTGGACTCATGATTGGATTTTTTTCAAAGGCTAACTAACTGCTCTTAGAATGTGATTTTTTTTTAAACACTTGAAATGTTAACTAATTGCCTCTAACCAGTGTGTGTATATGTCTCACTACCTATACTGAAGTATTTAAATTGTAGGCACCATAACCCTTTCATAAATCCATAATGCATCTTGAAAATTACTGGAGAAAGCTATTTTTTTGCTCACAGTTAGATAACATATCCTAAAAACTCTTTTTTTATGGCGCTTAGCAGTTTAAAATTACATATTCATGCAGTATTTATGCCCGTCTTACTCCTAGACAGTAAACTCTGTGAAGGTGCCATATATGTTTTATTCACTATTTTATTCTCAGTGCTTGGTATAGTGCCTGGCGTCTAAAGACACTTAATAAATGTTTGTGGATTTTAGTGTGATATGTGGGGTATAGGGAAGTCCCTTACCCAAAAGTATATTTCTTATAAAGAGGACACAGTCTGCTTGGTTCTGCTGGTAGAGCTATTATTCCTTTGAGTTAAAGCTACGTAAAGCTTCCATTACAGTTTCTGCCATAGCAAACAAAGCCCTTCATGATCTGGCTCTGCCTACTCCTCAGCATAAGCAATAATTAATGCCACTTTGCAGCCTTTGCTAGCTGCTAATGCGGCTTAGACTGGGCACTTATTCCTGTGCACTGTTGTCACTGCTTGTTCATTCCTAAATCATCACCTCTATTTCATTGTACTATAAATACCTATCCCAGCACCAGGTTGTCAACCCCTTTACTATGGGTGCAGCACTAGGCACATATAAGGCTCTCAAATAGTAGCTAAATTAAAGAATTCAACAAAGATATTTTTGAGAAACCGTGATTAGGAGGGCTTTTGTTTCTGTTTATTATTTCCTACCTGTATACTTGTCTTATGGTAACCTTTACTATTATACCCACAAATCCCACAAGAAAGCAAACTTACATACTTTGTTTCTTTTGGGTACACTGATATCACTTTCCCTTCTTAAACAATGCTAACAGGCTTGTGTTCAAGTCTGTTTATTATCAGTGAAGGGGTAAGGGGATAAGGGATATATAAATTACAAAGTATCAGTTCTTATCTATTCCCTTACCCCCCCCTCCCCCAATCTAATCTAGATTGCTTTTCCTAAGGAATCTTTCCAAGCTGAATATCAAGTTCAGTATCAAAATCATGATCCTGTGTCTCTTTACTTAGGGATCCTCTGGCCTCTCATTTTTTCTCCTTTGGCTCCTAAAGGCAGCCTTCTGATTTTACTTACTTTGTACTAAGATTCTGGCCATATCTTTCATCTTTGTGACAAAGTTTACTTTGTTACACAATTTGGGTCCTACATTGGCAAAATGTTTAATATTTGTGTTAAATATCACTCTTAGTTTCATTGCTACATGGTACAATTTTTAGTATTCTTGGGCGCATTGAAAAAACAAAGTCCCTGTTCTCAAGATTATATTTTGTTGGAGAGATGTGGTTTAAGTCTACAAAAAATCTAACAACAGTATCAAAATAAGAGTTGTGACAGTGCAGTGTATGATTAAATGCCATATGAGCAGGGTTGACAAGAGATAGGCTGGGTACGGAAGAAAAGTGATATCTGTGAGCCATCAGAGAAGGACTTTAGAGGTGAGTACAACTTCTGCTGATCCTTGGGAGCTGGCTAGATTGAGAACATTATAAGTTGGGGAATGCCCTGGTGTGGGGCAAGAAGCAGAGATTACCAGTGGTATATAAAAAATAGCAGCCTTGAGAGAGCAAGTGGAATATATGAGCAATGGAGTATAGAAAGAGATGAGCAGAGATGAATAGTCCCAGGGCTGGAACTGGGAAGGAAGGTGGACCAAGAAAGTGCAGTGTCCCAGAGTCCAGGGAGGCGAGATTTAGGAAGGAAGGAACAGCCAGCAGGGTTGGCCCCTGCTTAGGGATCAAGAAGGGAAATGAGGAAGGGTCTTTGGGTTTGGCAGTTAGGAAATCTGTGTCTTTTAGAGAATGCAGTTGAGTGGAATAATCAGGATTCCAAATAATAGTGGGTGGGTTAGTGAGGATGAAAGGGAAGAAGTAGATTTTGTGAGGCGTAGAGAAAAAGTCTAGGTTTTGGAACCAAATGGTCCTTGGTATAAATTCTGACTCATGGATTCATACTGAATGGCCCTGGGCATATATTTTTATGTATCTGCACTTCAGATTTAAAAAAAATTAGGGATAACACATTTATCTTGAGTTGCTACAGGGTTAGATAATTTAAGTAGAGTCTTTAATAAAGCTCCCCGCACATAGTTGACTGGGAGTTTTTAACCTTTTCTTGCTTACACACAACCAAGGATGTCAAGATATTACCATCCCTAAAAACAGCTCACTAGAGCAGTGATTGGTGGGGAGGTGTTATGTTTAGTCTTTGTTTTAAATGTACCTCTGTTATACCACTTGGGAAGTTTAGCAGCTTTAACAAACACCAGGAAAGATACCGGCCTTTTAAAATTTTTTCCTAGAGGATATTTAGCATATATAATTGAATTTTCCCCAGTTTGGCATTATATAACTTTTTTAAAGCAGTATGTTGTTATAGACAGAAAAGAGGTTTTGAGACTTGATTGGCTGATACACTGTTATATTTTCTTTGTACAGGATGGTTTGACTTTTATAGCTAATGTGAGGGTCTGAATTCAGGGAATTATATCATAAACTTCTGTATCTGAGCGAACTAGAGTTCTCTTGACTCCTTTTTCTCTTGCAGTGAGCATTGTGTGTTGACTTGGACAGAAAGAGGAATTTATATTTTCATTCCTCAGAATGTTCAGGTTCTTCTTTGGAGTGAAATCAAAGGTAATTATATTTTTCTTCCTTAATGTAACTTATAATCTCATGCTTGTGAAAGATTGAATTATTATAGGACGATTCTCCTGTAGTATAAGATGTAGAAAAATAGAGCAAGGTGCCATTTCTTTTAAATGTTAACATCATAGGTGTTTCCCTTTGTAAGGTAGTTCACAAGCATACATTTGTAAATTTGTGTTCAGTTGTTTAGTTTTGCATGCCTTTTAAACTTTTTATTTATTCTTAAATATTAGTAACACTGCTAAGGATCAAATGGGTGAATTTCTCCCCACCCCTACCTTATCCTGAATCTGGGCTCCTATTGGAAGTCTTTCCTTAACTCCTGTTTTGTGTCTCAATAGTTTGGGGTTCAGAAAAGTCCTTGTGGGAACAATAGCCATTGTATATGGCTGAGACAGAGAAAATCAGCCTCTCTATTCTTTTGGTTAAAACCAGAAATAGAGAAGTTTAGCTTTTTTAGCATTGCTGCTCAGGGAGTGTATTTGACTTTTGGGTCATTCACTGCTTTGTAAAAACAAAAAGAGAAAGAAACCATTACTTACTGATCTAATCAACATCTATTTCTTGTGGATTAAGTACCTTAAGGGTTTCCCATAAAAACTAGTTTGTTTTTCTTTTTTGGACTTTTAAAAATTGACATACATTGTGTAAGTTTAAGGTTGTACAGTGTGTTGATTTGATACATTTATATATTGCAATATGATTACCATCTTTTGTGGTGAGAATACTTAAGATTTTAGTCTCTTAGCAACTTTGAAGTATATAATACAGTATTGTTGACTATAATCACAATACTGTACATTGGATCTCTAGAATTTATTCATCTTCTAACTGCACGTGTGTATCCTTTGACCAACACACCCCAATTCCCCCACAACCCCAGTTCCTGGAAACCACCATTCTAGTCTTTCTATGAAATGGTATTTTTAGATTCCATATGTAAGTCATCATATCAAAACTAGTTTTTAAACTCCTTTTGGGATATTCTACTGTTAAGTACTTCCATGATCTATTTTTCTGCATACTGTTTGTTGATTTACATAGTACGTTAAAATCCATTCATTGACATTAGATTGTAACTCTCAGAAGTATCATAGTCTGGTCTCTAATGTAGAGTGCCCTCTTTTAAAGTCCCAGTTCTTTTTCATAGAAAAGAGCATTTTAAAATTGGATTTTAGACCAGAGAGATGTATTTCTTTCTCTGTTATCTTTTATCCTTGTTTTTTAGAATAGTGTCTAAAATATGATTTCTTCATTTAAATGCAAATATAAAAAGATGAAATTCAATTAAGGCAAACATATATAAAATGTGAATTTATTAGAATCATTTCAGCCCTTGCAAAAATGGAAAAGGAATATTTGTTGAATCTCTTGTATGTTCACCTCTGTCATTTTTGTAGATATTCAGGATGTGGCTGTCTGCAAGAATGAGCTGTTCTGTTTGCATCTAAATGGGAAAATTTCACATCTTTCCCTCTTCTCTGTGGAACGCTGTGTGGAACGCCTGCTAAGGAGAGGCCTGTGGAACCTGGCTGCTCGCACTTGCTGTCTTTTCCAAAATTCTCTCATTGACGGGCGAGTGAGTCAGAGAGCTTACATGTTCATCTGGGTTTTTAAAACCATCCTGGCTTGCAAGATTGTGCTACAAAGTTTCTTGGCTTAACTAGCCCTATATGATCTACAGATAAAGCAGCAATGAATTCCCAAAAGAAGAGCATGACGAATAAATCTAGGGATGGGTGGAGGGTAAGAAAAAGGGTATACTTTCTATTAAAAAAAAAAATCAAGTTTACCCACAAATTTATTTGAATTTCAGACCTTGTTTTAAGGGGGATGATTGTGCATACATTAAGTGTCCTAATTAAATTCTTAATTCCTAAGATAATTCTCATTAAGTCTTTCAGTAGCTTGTTAAGCCTTTTTAAAGCACTTCTGAGGTTTTATGTTCTATGTTAGACCTCTTTCAGTGTATTGCCATTTGAATACAGACTTTGTTACATGTAGTAGGCTGTTTTATCAGATTTCTGCTTACCCTTCTATTAGGGAAGAAAGTCTTTGACCGTAGATAAGTTGGAGCATTTGAGATCTCAGCTGGACCTCACAACCTGTAGCGATTTGGCTTCTCAACTAGAAGAACTGATCTTAAAATTTGAACCTTTGGACTCAGCTTGTGGCAGCCGAAGAAGCTCCATTTCATCACATGTAGGTGCTCTCACTTGCTAAGGGTTTTCTGTTCAGTAAGATTTTCTGCCTTAGGCTATACTCGCCTTTGGATTCCCAGACTTATCTTCCTTTCCATGAAGTAGATTTTGCTGGGGGGGTCATGAGGGGGCTTTCTTTCAGCTGTTGGACAGCCCTATGACGCCTCTGTTTAGGCTTGTCTTGGAGCCGCATTTTGTTTTGTCATTTTAAATTATATTCTCTTCTCAAATGCACCTCGTAGAGCCTCCAGCACAAGTTAAGTTGTTCCTAATATGGGATTTTAGATCCTTCATGCTAATTTGAGTGTCAGTGCAGCTCAGGATTGTCTCATTCAATCCCCACCCTCACCCGAGGAGACAGCTAGAGAAACAGCTGTGACCCAGCTGCCAAGAGTCTAGGTCTTACCAGCTCGTCCTAATAAGCCATACTTGTTATTATTGACTTGCTGCTTTTACTGTTGATTTTTCTCTTAAAAAGCTATATTGTGTTATAAAAGAAAGTTTTATTTTGATTTTTTTGGAATTCTTTTTGTTTTTAGGAAAGTTTCAGCATCTTGGACTCCGGTATTTATCGTATCATTAGTAGTAGAAGAGGCAGCCAGTCAGATGAAGATTCTTGTTCCCTTCACAGCCAAACCCTCTCAGAAGATGAGAGACTTAAAGAGTTCATCTCACATCAAGAAGAGGACCAGCCAGATCAGGGTTGCAGCTCCCATGGAAATGAAGGTAATGAGTTTGTCTTTCATTGGTTGCAGATGTGAAGCACTTATTTTCTGTCACTTCTATTTGCCAGGATTATCTCATGCATAGAGTTTTCTATAAGGTGTTCATAATTTTTATTATGTTGATAGACTTTCCATCCAGACCTATAGATCTGCTCACCAGTAGAACAGTGGATTTGTGTTTAGTTATTTGCCCCCCACCCCTGACCCCTCATGTCTAGGCTGACATTGGTAAATGCTGGACAGGTTAAGAAAGGAGGTCATTAACCAAAAGAGTGGGACAATTTTATTCTGACTAACCAAATTATTTTTCATCAGGAGTGAAAAATCACTACAGTTTTGGGGCCATTGCCTACACTTTTTGATGTTTGAGCATTCCTGTGACCGAACTGTTGAGAAGAGATTAATAGAGACTCTAAACTTCCTTTTTGACTTATGGGGATTCAGGGTTAGTAGGAAAATGAAGGTACTTGCCTGAGTGTTTTATATGTGGACCATCCCATGCATCTTGTAAGCCTGTGTTCTGCTCATTTGTATCTGGGTCAGTTGTGAGTTTGGTATTGAATCCTTCATTTCCTTTGGTTTATTTATTTCAGAATTTCTTTAAAGATTAAAAAAATTCCCATGTGCTTAGATATTGTTTCTTTTGCCTGATTTCATTCATCAGACAGCGTTTCTCATGTTCCAGTGACGCTTGAGACAGATAAGAATGAAACTTTTCTCCCCTTCGGCATTCCATTATCATTTCGCTCTTCATCTCCTCTTGTGTCTCTTCAGGCTGTCAAGGAAAGGTAAACTAATTAGTCCTGTCATTTAGTACCATTCTGGTTTTACTTCGTTTGTCACCTTAAGTACTTTTGTGCTGAGAATGGAAAGACATTTTAAATGAAAAAAAAAAAAAAGTAAGTTATTTCTCATATCACCTGTTATATGGAGCTGTTAACTTCTCGTTTCCATCTTGGGGAATTTAGCTTGCCTCTTTGTTTGAGTAGCTGGATATTTGAGTTGTTATAGATGTGGTTTTTTAACCCACAGACAGCAAAAGTTTAAAAAGCTGATATATTTCTCATCCCTCATTGGAATAATTTCCATATGTCATTAGTCATTTCATTTTTTAAAAATTTTATTTATTGACTTTTAGAGAGAGAGAAACATTGATTTGTTGTTCCACTTATTTACGCATTCATTGGTTGTCTCTTGTATGTGCCATGACCGGGGTTCAAACCTGCAACCTTGGGGTATTGGGACAGTGCTCTAACCAGTTGAGCTACCTGGGCAGGGCTGTCATTAGTCATTTTTTGATCATTTCTCAGTTTGGGCTCAGAATTAGACATTTCAGAAGTCTTTCTAGCTACTCCATGGAACTAAGATTGGCATGTAAGTTTGAGAGAGAAGACTGTACTGTTACTTAACTGCCTATCTGTCTTACTGGATACAAGTTTTGCTTATTAAGAAGAATATGTTGTGACTAGTTGGCAGCTGAGTTTCATGAAGATATTCTGTTAATTCTCTGGCCAGATTGGGGCAGGTGGTCACGTGGCCTCCTTTGCTTAAGTTGACAGAAACATCACAGATACAACTGGAGTTAGAGACCTTTTCTGTAGCACTTAAGGCAGTGTAGTAAATGAAGTGAATCCTTATAATATTGTACATTTTACGTGAACCTTATGCAAAATATGTAGTCAGTTAGGGAAGTTGCTGTAAGCAGTCTTTCTTTTTATTAAGTCCAGGTTGCCTTTCTGAAACTAATTGGAAAATACAGAACTAAGTATTGAATTTTTCATTTTTGTCAATATGAGGTTTTTTTTCATATTAGTTTTTTGGTATTTGACTTCCAGTGTTTCTAGCTTTGTGCGTAAAACTACTGAGAAGATTGGCACCCTTCATACAAGCCCTGATCTGAAAGTGAAACCAGAGCCCAGGAGTGATGAACAGTTATGTGAAGAAGATGTGAGTCCAGTCACCTGCCCAAAGGAGGAAGACACTGAGTAAGTTCTTGCATATAAATCTGTGTGAATTCTGGAGGAGTCATCTGTCACTTTGAAGAAAGCCATAGGCTATGCCCTATTGGAGAAGGCAAATGTATGACCCTGCTCATTGTTGATTGTTGGTGTAGCTCATAAAAATTGTGAATACCACAAATTAAGTGTTGGAAAATTACATTTACCCATAGCAAATCTGTTAAGACAGAGTTTTAATTTAGCATCTCTTCCATTCGTCTCCTGCACAGCCTCCTCCCTTCCAGATCTCTTCAAACTTTTTAGGTGTTAGAGAAGGAGTGTTAAGTTAAGAGTAAGATGACCAAGGATCTAGGCCTTGTCCTGGCTCTGCTTCTGACTAATGTATGATTTTGGGTAGGTCACTAATGTCCTCTGGCCTGTAAGATGAGAGCATTGGTATTGATGTCTTGCCTTGTACCTTCTTAGGTATGCTGCTGGTGGCATAGTCCTTGTTCTGCCACAGTATGAAGTGCCTTGTCTATCTGGTCTCTGCTTTATCTCATAGTTCAGGGGATCTGAGCATTAAAGGCAAGCAAGCTCAGCACTCATTCAGGAACTGAGAGACCCATACGTCCAGTGTGCCTGGACAGTCAGATGAAATAGAAGGTATATTATCCTCAGAATAACTTCGTGAATTCATATATTTATAGGAAAAATGTACAGATATTGCTGTGGCATTTAAGGCAGCCCTCGCTCTGACCTTAGCTCACTTTCAAGCCTCATTTTTTACCGTGTCCTTCCAAGCACTCTAAATTCCAGTCCTGTTGGGGATCTGGGTGTGTGCACCTTACTATCTTTTTTCGTGTTGTTTCTTCTACTTGCAGTACTTCTCCCCCATTTTTTCTAACACAAATGCCACTTCCTCACAAGAGCTTCCATTGATTGCCTAGTCAGAACAATTGTTCCTATTTTTTGTGCTTTCATACTACTGCGTTTGTGCTGCTCTTTAGTATTCATTTTATTCTCCTTTATATTATAGTTAGTTGTTTGCATGACTTTCTTCCTGACTTGAGCTTACTCATATTGAGGCCAGTGACCATTTTGTATACTCATCTGTTTAGCTAATGTAACATTAAGTACAATACCTGCAGCTTTGTAAGCACTTAGAAATATTTGTCTAAGGAAGCTGTAATCCCATCTAACTCCTTTCACACTTTCCTAGGGGAATAAAAGAAGAAACGAGTCAACCTCCAGAAGAAGATAAGTTCCAAGAGCTGAGAATAGCAACAGCAGAAGCAATGTGAGTGTTTATGAATGAGGAAGCTTTACAGTGAATAGGAGTGACTTTTTGAGATCATTGCTAGTGGTTCTGAGACAGTGTGGGGCAGAGGTAGTCTCATTTGGAATTCAGATTCAAGAATTACTATACAGTTAATGTTGTCTGAATTGTCATGTTGCCGAGATAATTGTTAAAGAGTAGAAAAGTAACATTCCAGATGAGTATATTGTATTCATTAGATTTCTTTAGCACGAAATAATTTGTTTAAAAAACACACACATGAAGCAAATTTTATGCTTGTCTGTCTTGTATAGGACCAAACTACAGGACCCACTGGTTTTATTTGAGCCCAAGTCTCTGAGAATGCTTTTACAGGAGTGGCTTTCGCAGTTAGAAAAAACATTTGCCGTGAAAGACTTTTCAGGCATTTCAGACACTGGCAACTCATCTGTGACATCGAACGAGGATGTGGTATTGTTTGATGAGTCAAAAAACGGAATGTTAGATGACGATAATGAAAAAGAAAAAAGGGACTCTTTAGGCAGTGAAGAAACTGATGATCAGACAGCATGTGAATCTGTAAATAATCTGAGGGAACCCTTGGATGACCTCTTTCAAGTATGTTCTCCATGCGACATAGAAAACGGTCTCCGAAAGAGCCTGGCTGAATTGACAACATTGTGTTTGGAATTGAATGTCCTGAATTCTGAGATCAAAAGCACAAGTGGATGTGTGGACCACACTTTGCAACAGTGCTCCCCTGAAATTCTGGCTTGTCAGTTCCTAAAGAAGTACTTTTTTCTCCTGGACTTGAAGAGAGCAAAGGAGAGTATCAAGCTTAGTTACACTAACAGTCCTTGTGTTTGGGATACTTTTATTGAAGGATTAAAAGGTAATAACCTTATCAAAGATAGAAATTTCCCTCACTTCTCAAGTTTTAAATGATGGCCTTCTCCCTGAATTCCCTTAAGTAATTACTGCCTGATACAATCAAATAGGAAATAATAAAACTGGGAAGAAATGATTTTTTTTAAAAACAGATATATCAGAAATTGAAGGTTAGGTTTTAGAAATGGTTTGTTGAAAAGGCTCCACCCTTACAATGAAGCTGTAATTACAGAAAACAGCTTTTTAGCTACATTTAGTTTTAACTATATCATCATTCACTTTATTTGCCACACTTCGCTTTAAATGACCTGGCTATTCCCAAAAGGTCTTCCTTCAGAGAAAGAAGATTTGCCATAACTGATGTTTTTTTAAAAATAGGTAAAAAAAAATTTTTAAATTAATTAAATTTAAATAACTTACTTTATTCCAAAAGATGGCATAGGGACACTGGTTCTAGAAAAACTGAGGAATTTGGCATTGATGGTAGACATATATATATATCCCTTTTTCAAGGGTAATAGAGACTTATATATTGGTGATCTGCTATTTTGTCTTGTTTAAAACGTTCAGTATGCTCTGCTTCCCAATATGATTTTAAAGTTCTTAAAAGCAGAGGTTGTATCTTGTTCTTGTTTTTCTCTCCTGCAATGTTTGTCTCCTGCAAAGCACTGGGCCTTGCACATGGTAGGTGGATGAGTAATGGTTGTTGAACAAATGTGTTCATGAATTGAATATTTACAGCTTTGAGATGAAGGGAAACGGTTGTGTTTTATCCTTTAGAAATGGCAAGTTCCAGTCCTACATTTATGGAGATGGAAAAAGGAGATCTACCAACAAGATTAAAGTTACTGGATGACTCGGTCCCTTTTGGCAGCCCTTTGTTGATTGCCTATGCTGCCCAGTAAGTTGTTGTACATGTTGTTTATATGAACTAAAAGCACATGCAATGTTTTTTGGTCTTAGTCTCTAAAGTTTTACTCAGTTGTACATTGGTCAGCTTCATATTAGGATATTTATTTTTATTTCTAACAAGTACTTAGATAATGTAACCAAGTTATATCATCTCACTGAAGTTGGAGACTAATATGTTTTGTTTTTAAATGCAGGTTGTATGATAAGTTTGGGGACTCTGCCCTTCGATCCTTAATCAAGTTTTACCCAGCTATTTTGCCTTCGGATGTCATGCAACTTTGTCATAACCATCCTGCTCAGTTTTTGGTCTATTTAGACAGTCTGGTGAAATCAAGGCCTGAAGATCAACGGTGAGAAGGCGAGAATTATTTGCACTCTCCCTTCTGATAGGGCATTGTTTCTCTTGTGTAAGCAGTTGTAGCATTTTTACTATCAACTGCCACAGAAATTGAGGCATCTACTGTGGAAGAGGAGGATCTGGGCAGTTGTGTACATTCTTTCAGGGTTCACAGTACACACCATAAATATTCACATATTACACTTCTCTTCCCTTCCTCTTTTTCTCCCTCTCAGGGATTCTTGGATCATCAGTGTAAAATTAAACCCCCCTTCCGGGCCCAGGCTAAGACAGATAAGCCTCCTTGTTCTCTCAGCCAGTGAGTGGATTTATTGCCATCATTTTTATTGATGACAGCCCAGTTTTTTGTGGGTGGGTCTCAGTTCCAGTTCTTTGACTCTCTTTAGATTGAGGCCTCATTTCCTATCTCCACATAGCCCCTGGTTATTGAGACTGGCTATTCTTCGCCCCTTTCAATCCCTTCTCCTCCTTTCTTTCTTCCACTGACTGATTCACATTTGCCATACTGGCTTTTCTTTCTTTTTATTTTTGGCCCTTTGGTATTTTCCTTATTATCTTGGGGCTCAACTGTTCATTTAAAAGGCTATTAGATTTTCACTAGTTTTTCTAGACATTTTGTAGCAGAAGGATTTTCAAGTTATTTCATTCACTATATTGATCTCTCAGTAACATTTTCACATCCCCACATTTTGTTTCCTTTCTCAGCATGAAGATTGGTGATTTTTCTCCCCTACTTTCTCTTAGGCCATCCTTCCTTGAGTCCCTTCTACAACCAGAGTCTTTAAGATTGGATTGGCTGCTTTTGGCAGTGTCCCATGATGCTCCCCCAAGCACAAGCACTATGGATGATGAAGGAAACCCCAGGTATAGAAGTCCTTTTTCTAAGCTCTGATGTTCCTTTGGAATGGAACTAGTTTATTCACATACAGCATTCTGGGCTTACTTCAGGAACAGCTCTGGAAGAGACTGAGCCAAGTCATGGTAGTAAAGAGATTGCATTTCCTAGTTGTTCAGAACATTTTTTGTGTTATAGATCCTATAAGAACCTGATGATTTCTCTCAGAAAAATGCATATCCATGCAAAATTTTTCACATGATACCAGAAAATTAAACTGCCCCCTTAAGCTCTTTCATGGATCCACCTTAAGAGCCCTTGATAACTAAACCTGTGTTAGAAGTGTTAATGCACCTCTCACATACACCAGAGAGGTGTTATGGGACAGCCCCCTGAGTTGAAAGGAGAGGGCTGTCCCCACCTTGATTCTTGTTATGCTCATAAGAATGAATTCTAACTAGTGACTCCATATAATTGCTTTGTGTTAAAGTGAATTTATTAAGAAAGCAATTTATTAAGAAAGTAAAGTATGCAAATTTATTTAAGGAGCAAGGCAAGCAAATCTGTCATCCTGGATAATGCACAGTTGGGCTCTCTTGGCTAAGCGAGTGGGGTGGGGGGAGGTTTGCCTTATATACATTTTTGTCTATAGATTTTAAAATTCCTCTGCTGAATATCTTGGTACAGGTTAATTTTCAAGGTCTCCCTTTTACTTTGTTGTGGCTTTCCTAGAATTTGTGAGAAGCACCTGTCAATTTTATCTTGCCAAGCCCCAAGACTGCTGGCTTTTCTGTTTAGTGGGTGGGATGAGATAAGACTGCACTCTTCCTTCCTCTTCCTCCCTCCTGTCTGCTGTCTTTGGAGAGACATTAACCATTTGCTCTCAAGGATCCCTAGCTGGGGAAGATAAGGGCTTGTTATTTACAAGCTAGCTGCAAGCTGTCCAAACTGCTTGGCCTTGTTTAATTTTCTTAACTCAGTTTCCCTATTCCTCCTGCCCTGGAATTTTCCTACCTTTTTGCTATCCTGTAACAGAAGGGAAAAAATTGTGCATATGTGTTTATCTGTGTGTGTTTTCTTTCTAGAAATTTCTAGACATAACCTGATTTTGGATTTTAAAAAGTTAGAATACATAAACAATACACACTGATACTTTTAATGTATCAGAAATGATTCTTGGGTTTTCCCCCAGGAGAAGCTTTAAAACCCCCCAAATGCTTATCCTATATATGCCTAGAAAAAATGTCTGGAAGGTTATACAGTGGCTATCTGTGAGTGATGGAATTACTAGGCTTCTTTCATTTGTTTTTGATTATCTAAAAATGTATAATTAAAAAAAAATAAGTAGGTATTTGTTATAGGAAAAAAAAAGTTTTTAATTTTTCAAAAGCCAAGTAGAAATGTTTAAAAAATATAATAATAATGGAACAGATCTAATTAAACTCTGCCCTTGCCTATTAGATGACTAATAAGCATTTTTTAGAATTTATTTTCTATCTAATTTATGGAGTTTTTCATTTCACAGACCTCATTCACACTTGTTTTCCTGGGGTTACAGTCAGCTGATCCTTCATTTAATTAAACTGCCCGCAGATTTTACAACCAAAGAGAAAATGACTGACATCTGCAGATCTCATGGGTAAGAGAATTTTCTTAGAAACTGAAGTTAGGATTAGAAGTTAGGATCAGTTACTAACTTTGTAGTTAAGGGCCTGAATTGATACACTTTATCATTTGTGAATTCTCTTTGCTGTGGGAAAGTATCTTTGTTTTAAGTGATAGTAAAGTACAGTGGTACCTCAATTTTCAAATGTAATCTGTTCTGGAAGACTGAGTTCTGAAATGTTCGAAAACTGAGGGATCCACAGCCCACAGCTAGGCTTCAGGATCTTGCACTCAGTGGAAGCCGTGTGGCATGTTCGACTTCTGAGGCATGTTCGAAAACCAAAGCATTTACTTCCGAGTTTATGGCGTTCATAAATTGAAACGTTCGTCAACAGAGATGTTTGAAAACCGAGGTACCACTGTACACAAATTTTTCCTTTTAATTTTTGTGCATATTTTTTCTTTGTGTGGTGGAAGCTACTGGACCTGGCTAATTCCTTTCTCTACCCCCTTCTGCTTAGTTGGTAACCCCAGGCATGCAGGTGGTATTTAATTTAGCACTAGACTGTGATTTGATTATAATTGCTAAAGGGTTGTCCAGATAGGGAGGGATCAGAATGGTCTCAGTAGAACTGCTAGTGAAGGCCTCAGGGAGGAGGTGAGGCTTTGGAGGTAAGCCCTATAGGCTGGATAGGATCTGTATTTAAAAGGAGCCAGGAGGAGGGCTGGTGAGGTTTAAGAAACAATAAGAATAAGGGCATGAAAAACAGACATCGTTTTTATCCATACCACCTATTAGTCATTTATTGATTGCCTGGCCATGTTACTGTATGGCTGCACTTAGATTATGATCTTTTGGAGATAGGTACCTGTTTCTTCCTTTTCCCTCATAATGCAGGTACTTGATACACGTTTATTCATTGATAACGAGGGATGAGACTAACCAGGTGGTGGGGCAGAAGAATTTCATCAATAGAAACCCTTTAGACTTTTGGGTATGAAAATGACATGGTAAAAATGGAGCTTTCTGGAGATCATTTTTGGTGTCCTATGTGAGAAAAGCTGGAGACAGGAAGACCAACTTGGAAGCTGTTGCAGTAATTCATTTTTGACTGAATTGGTGATTAGTAGGGCAGCAAAAGGACCACATCCAAGGGACATTTAGAAGGAAAATGCAGTGGGATTTATAATACTGGATATAGCCAATGAAGAAGGGAGAAGAGTCAAGGAAAACTTTCATATTTGGGGAAGAAATATCCTAATTTGTATTGAATCTTAACATTTATAAAGTATAGAAGCTTAGATATATCATAACTGGTGTTTGGCCTCAAATGTCAGTATTTATCACTAGCTTTTATTCTTTCTTCTTAAACACTCCAGATCAGGGCTAGTGGAAATATTTTGCACTGTCCAGTGTGATAGACATTAGCCACATGTGGCCATTGAATACTTGAAATATGGATTGGTCATCTGAAAGAACTGACTTTTTAATTTTATTTACTTTAAATAGCCACATGTGTCTAGTATCTACTGTAATGGACAGCACAGCTCCAGATAAATTCACTGCCTTTTATTACTTTCTTCAACTTTGGTCTCTTTAAAGTTTCTGGCCTGGATATCTTACTCTCTGTTTGGAGCTGGAGAGAAGAAGAGAGGCCTTCACCAACATCGTGTATTTGAATGATATGAGCCTGATGGATGGGGATAGTGGTATGTAAATCCCAATGGTTGTTATTTATTTATTTATTCTTTAAATATGTCTTTATTGATTTCAGTGAGAGGGAGAGAGAGAGATAGAAACATCAATGATGAGAGAGTCATTGATCGGCTGCAGCCCGCAACCCGGGCATGTGCCCTGACCAGAAATCGAACCCCGAACGCCTGGATCCTAGGTCGACCTGGATCCATGGCTCAACCGCTGAGCCATGCCTGGCCAGGTCCAATTGGTTATTCTTGGTTGTAGTATTTTAGAATTCACTTCAGACCTTCAGTAAAGAAATTTGGTGAACATTTCAGTGATCATGTATATAATTCTAGCTACCTGTCAAATTTGCAGAATTAAAAAAATTTTTTTTACCTGTACCATTTGGTAATTAGAAATCATAATTAGGGATAAACTGCAGGCAACTTTACTATTTAATGAGTGCCTGCTGTGTGTTAAGTGCTTTTCCTATTACTGTTTAAATGAGGTAACAAATTCTTGGTACTTACTATTATTTTTGTTCTACAGGAGTTATAACTAAGGTCAAGAGAAAGGACAATTAAGTTTCCCAAAGTCATACAACTGGTGGAACTGGTGTTCAGACCCCTGTTTGACTATCTAAAGCTGGTGCTCAGGTTCTTTTCTCTGCATCGTGTTGATTTTTTACATAGCCAAAAGTTAGAGATCATTAAGATGAACTTAAAATGGAGTAGAAGTCAGATTTCCCTAAGCTTTCACAACTATTTAGATCCTTTTAAAAACAGTTTAATTTTTATCAATTCAAAACAGATAAAATGGCAGTCAGAAGGCCAGGACTTTGGCACACTGATATCTGAAGTCTGAGGGTCCATGCTGCACTTAGAGAGTTTTGGTTTCTTTTATGGTGCTGCTTTATTCATCTCATTGCAGAGATACCAACAGCAAGACATCAGGGTTCTTCATCCAGTGTGATCTGCAGTCTTTTCCAGCCCTCCTGTGTGGGAAAGGGAACATGAAAACAGAACAAAGAAGCCAGTTGACTGGCAAGGGTTAACTTCAGATGTCACAGCTATAGCAAAAAGTACTGTTTCAGAAGTGAGAAAAGAGGGCCAGGTGGTTCTGTAGGACTAGAACTATAGACATGCATACATTTCTGAATAATATCCAGAAGAGTTAAAATATAAATGGTTTATATTTTTAAAGTTACATGGTGTTTATTATAGAAAATAGTACAGAATTTAGGAAGCATAAAGAAAATAGTCTCCCTGCCCAGATAAAAGTACTTTTGATATTTTGTTAATGTAATAATAATAATAGCTATTTTTGTCCTTGGTGTATTAAATGGGTCTTTTCTTAATACTTTTCTCTCCTTCTATCTCATACTAATCACTCCAGTTTGTGTTGATTTTACTGCTAAATATATATCTTCTACCTACCTACTTTCTTTTGCTCCACTGCCATCACTCTGGTCCTAGCTACTTGCTGAGACTACTGCAGTAACCTCATAATTGGTCATCTGGCTTCCATTCTTGTTCATTTTTAATCCATTTTACTTAAGCAGTCAGGGTGGTTCTTTTAAACCAAAACTGGATTATGTGGCACCCTGCTTAAAACCTCTTACATTGAACTCAGAATAAAATCTACATCCTTAAGGCCTGGCGCTATCTTGTTCTCACTACTCACTACTGCCTTTGTGTGCTATAGGCCTTTTTTGGAGTTCCTTAGATTCAAGTTCTTTCCTATGTCAAGATGTCCTTCATATTTCCTTTGTCAGAAATAAAGTCTCCTTCACCCTCCATTCCTGATGCTCCCCACCTCAATTCTGCACGTACGTGGGCCACATGCACATGCTGTCTGTTTGTTGCGTCTTTCAGCTCTCTGCTTAAACATCACTTCCCCATAGAGCCCTTCTCAGATTCTCCAGAAATCCTTTTGTTCTCTAATGGTTGGTTTCTTGATCTTTTCTTTTATAGCACTTATAAGTGTAGTACATTTATGTGTTTTTCTAAGTTCTGTCTCTTTTACTATAAGTCCCACAAGAGTTCCTTATTGTATATCCAGTGCCCAGCATAGAATATGCCCTGGGTAATTACTGAGTCAGTGAAAGAATATAGAAGTTAATTTTGTGGCTTCTCCTTATCATGAACTATTCAACAGATGTTCAGAAAACAACTTTGTGTTAGGATGATGAGATTATGTGCTCTAATATTTGTATGTTTTGCTATTAACAGTTTTCACAAACTGTTTTGACTGTCTCCTGTATGCAGGCAGAGTGCCAAGAGCAGTCAGAGCCAACATTTCTATGTTTTTGTGTGTTTGTGTAGGTTGGATCCCAGAGACCATGGAGGAATGGAAGCTTCTCCTACATCTTGTACAGAACAAAAGCACAAAACCAGCCTCCCAGAAGTCACCAAATGGGAGCTTTAGTGATGAGCCTTCCCCTATCAACATGGAGAATGTGGCACTGCTGTTAGCTAAGGCCATGGGTCCAGATCAGGCCTGGTCACTTCTACAGGAATGTGGTTTGACACTTGAGCTGTCAGAGAGGTTTACCAGAACCTGTGATATCCTAAGGATTGCTGAGAAAAGACAGAGGTAATACTTGTCTGTCATGTCCCTTTGCATAGGTGCCTGGGGAATGTGAAACCCCAAGATTTTCAGAGGTGCATGGGATGAGAGAGATCACCCATTCACAACCCCTCAACAGATTAGGGGACTGAGACTCACCTTTTGATTAAGGCGATTAAGGAAAGAGACTAAAGTAATGTTTTGTTCACAGTCATGACCAAGACACTGGAATAAGGTGAGTGAATACCCAAATCTGATGTGTAATCAGTTCTTTAAGAACCTTATTGGTACCAAATACCTAATTGTCTCAGGTTTTTTGTTTTTGTTTTTGTTTGCTTTTTTAGTTGTGGTACAGATAACATAAAATTAACCATCCTAACCATTTTTAAGTGTTTGGTTCAGTAGTGTTATGTATATCCATATCATTGTGCAGCTCAATTCCAGAGCTTTTTCATCTTGCAAAACTCTACCCGTTGAACAACTCCTCATTTCCCCCTCCACTCAGCCCCTGGCAACCTCCATTCCTACTTTCTGTCTCTGTGATCTTGATTGTTCTAAGTACCTCATTGAAATGGAATCATGCAGTATTTATCTTTTTGTGACTGGTTTATTTCACTTAGCGTAATGTCTTTAAGGTTCACCTATGTTGCAGCAAGTGTCAGAGTTCCCTTCCTTTTCTTAGGCTGAATAATATTCCATAATACGTGTATACCACATTTTGTGTATCCATTCATTTGTCAATGGAAACTTGGGTTGCTTCTACCTCTTGTCTGTTGTGATTAATGCTGCTATGAATGTGGTTGTACAAATATCTCTGAGACTCTGCTTTCAGTTCTTTTGGATAGATACCCAGAAGTGGAATTGCTGGGTCATAAGGTAATTTTATTTTTAACTTTTTGAGGACCCGCTATACTGTTTTCCATAGAGGCTACACCATGTTACATTTCTATCAGCAGTGCACAAGGGTTCCAATTTCTCTACATTCTTGTCAACACTAGTTATTTTCTGATTTTATTTTAATTTTTTTATAATAGCTATCCTGATGGGTGTTAGGTGGTATCTTATTTGCATTCCTCTAATGATTAGTGATGTTGAGCATCTTTTTCATATGCTTGTTAGCCATTTGTATATCATCTTGGAGAAATTCCTATTCAGGTATTTTTGCCCATTTTCAATCGCACTATCTGTTTTTTGTTGTATGAGTCTTTGTATATTTTCTGTATTAATCCTTTATCAGATACATGATTTTCAAATATTTTCTCCTATAGGACAGGATGCTTTTTCATAAGATGCCTTTTCACTCTGTAGATTGTGTTTTTTGATGCATAGAGTCAGCTTTTTGAATCCTCTAATTACTTGTGGTTTTTAAAGTTTTTTTGTAAAGAATGAACAATGAGAACTAAACTTGTTTCTTTTCTTTGGGATTTCAGAGCCTTGATACAAAGCATGCTTGAAAAATGTGATCGGTTTCTCTGGTCTCAGCAGGCCTAGTGGAAGAAGGTTCAGTCGGATGTCATGCTCCTGAGTCTTCTGAATGCATTTGTTGATGAAGGAAAGGCACCACCTGAAAGCTCTGCCATCTTATTGGGAGTACTTTGGCCAGTGTCTGCAACCTCTGCATTTATGGCTTATCTGTGGCCTCAGTGTTTCTCAGCCAAAGTTGAGTTTTGAAAGGACTCAGTCCTTGTTTGCTGATATGAAGTGTTCTGGAATCAGAATGTGAGTGTTTACAGCTATGCAGTCTTTATTCTGAACAACAGTGTTATTTGTTCCTTGCTTGTGGATTGGGGGAGCAGAAGTTTCTCATTGTGGTCACATGAAGACAGATAATATAATTGACAGGAGTTGAATTCTTTTTATATCTTGTCTAGGACAGTTGAGAAATTACTGAAATATGACCTGGTATAATGGAATTAACACATAAAAGAAGCGAAACACTGAAGAGTCAAATTAGATATTATGAAATCCCCCATATTTAATTTGAACTAATTTAAAATACTTTTCCCCCCAGTATTTGACATTTTCTAATCTGAACCTATATACTAATTCATTACTGAAAATGTTTTATCTCTAATCTTTCCTAAACAGAGAGTAGTTCGAAGAAATCATGCACTTTTAGAAATTATGTTTTAAAAGTCAAAATAAAGGAAGGCTAAGTACTAATAAAGACTGAAACAAGTGCTTGTATTATTTAAGCCAAATACTAGATTGCCATTTGCCAAGCTCCTGTACACTTACTACATAGCATGTTATATTAATAATGTGAAATCTGATTAAAGTTTTCATTTGAATAGAATATAGACATGAAGTTTATCGTGAGCAATTTGCAGGAAGGTGTGGGGTAGACTCACTGTGGAGTAAACAAAGTGTTGGGTACTTGAATGGTTCACTTTTTTTTCCGTTTATAACACAGCCAGGGATCTATAGACAAAATTGCTGTCATACTTTCATATGACATTTGGGTATGATGTAACCTGATGGGTTAAAGAGATTGTCAGAGAAAGGAGGTTCACAAAGCTGCTTAGAATTTTGAGAAACCTAACAATGTGTGGTGGCAGTAAGGGTGTGATGCGGTAGTGGTAGTGGGGGAGTGTGTGTCTGTGTGTGGTATTTCCCCATAAGTAGTTCTCTACCAGCTTGGGCGTCCTACAATACAAATCAATTCTCACACTATCTACTCGGAGATAGCATCAGATTCTGCTGATTAAGGGATGTGAAACAAAAACCTTCGCAGCCAAAAGGTTTTCTGAAAGGAAGGTTTTTTTGAACCATGTGCTAGTCACTAGCAAAAGGACCAAGTTGGAACATGTAGTCTAAAACACCAGCAGCAGGGCAGGACAGAGAAGATGAACATTTTTCCACAGTCTTGGAGCTTTTTTATACAATAGTTTGGGGAAGGAAGGTGCAGGTTGTTTTGAAAGAATTTACACTGGCTAGAAAATGGGAGTGGGAAAAGGTGAAGTGAGGGCAGTTCTAGGATAGGTGCATATCTTTAGGGAAGAATTGTTTACTGCTTCTGGATTGGTTGTGGACAGCATTCCAAAAAGTTCATGCATAAGCAGGATGCGGTGATATCGGGTAATCCAATATTTTTTTAGATGGCTGCTAGTAAGTTGATTCAAAGATTCAGTATACATTCCATTCAGGAATGTGAGTAGTCTTTGGTTAGTCTCCAATTACAGCTGTTAACTGAATAACTCCAATTGTCTCTTTCTCCCACTCTCCTGCCAGCTGTAATTGAATTTAGATATCTCAGAATTTTTCTTTTGTCAGGGCTCAGTCCACAAGACTGCCCTCCACTTCAGACACCAATCACAAGTCCAGGTTGTTAATGATGCTTCTGACTGACTGGCTACAAATCAGAGGTTTCCATGATTCCTTCCTTGAGTTTAATTTCCTATAGTGGCTCACAGAGCTCAGAGAAACGTTTTAGTGACTAGATTACCAGTTTATTCTGAAAGGGTATAACTGCGGAACAGACATATGGAGGAGATGAATAGGACAAGGCTGGAGGGAAAGGTGAGGAGCTTCCATGCCCTCTCTGAGCTCCACTCTCCCTGATTCTCCACTTGTTCACCAAAGCAGAAGCTTTGGAACCCAGTCCTTTCTGGTTTTTAAGGCTTAATTACATTGGTGTGATTGATATAATCGTTGGTTATTGGTGGTTGAATTCAGTCTCCAGCCCCTCTCCTGATTTGAGTGGGGTGGGGTGGAAGGAGGCTTTTACAACACTCGAATCAGGTGGTTGCCTCCCCTGGCAACCAGCCCCCAATATTAGGTGCAGTCCAGAGTCACCTCATTAACACAACCAAAGCAACCTCTCTCTCACTCATCACTTAGGAAATTTTGAGGGTTTTAGGAGCTCAGTTTCAGAAACTGGAACCAAGACCAAATATGTATTTCTCCTTATAAATCACATATCATACCTTCCCACTAGCATCAGCTGGAATTGGGTTGTATGAATCATGTTGAATGTGATCTTGAATGTGAGTCTGTACCAAGGTAAAGAGTGAAAGCTTGTTCTTCACTGACAGCTTTTGTCATTACAACATGACTGTCCAAAAGATAGCCCAGAGGAAATCTCAGGAGACAGTCTGACCTGGCATAATTGTGCAAGTCATTTCCCAACAGAGTTTCCAAAGCATATTACAGCAATCCCCATTTACCAGAAGGGTACAGAGGGAAATTTCTAGCATTAAAGAAGAATACATCATCAGAAATAATTTTCCAAGGCAAACAAAACCAAACAAAAAATTCCCTTCAGTTGAATATTTAAATTTGAACAGTCTACCTGGGTACGAGGCTTGGTTTTCTTCATATATATTAATATGTCCTTATTGATTTCAGAGAGAGAAAGGTAGAGAGAGAAACATCAACCATGAGAGAGTCATTGATCGGCTGTCTCCTGCACGCCCCCTACTGGGGATTGAGCCCGCAACCCGGGCATGTGCGCTGACTGGGAATCAGAGCTTGATCTTCTGGATCATAGGTTGATGCTCAACTGCTGAGCTTTGCCAGCCGGGCTAGGCTTTGTTTTGAAATACAACTTGTATCTCTGACTTGCCTAAAAATGCTAGGCAGGCTGTGATTCATAACTTTTACTTTTGTTTATACATTTGACTGCTGTTTAACAGGGCTGCAGGGCCAGAGCTTGGGTTCTGAGGCCGAATGTCTGGCTTTGAATGTCTGCTCTGGCTTTTCTTGTCTAACCTTTGGGAAGTTATTTTTGATTCTTTAAGTTTCAGTTTTCTCATCTATAAAATGGGGGTAATATTAGCACCCACTAAGGATACTTTGAAGAATAAATGAGATAATGAATATGAAGTGCATAGCACAGTAACTGACACATAGAGTAAAATCAGAGCTACCTCCTAGTGACCATTAAATGAGACTAAACTGTAGTGCATAGTGCCTGTAACAAGCTGTATGGGTGATAAATGCTAGCTGTTCTTTGAAAGGTTTAGAATATCATCATTTCACCAAGTAGTGATCTAGACCCATGTAAATTGTTTTACATGATTCAGAGAAAGAGGGAAGATCAAAATTGAAGTTGATAACTTCCTTGCACATATTAAATTTATCACTGTCCTGGTCAAGGCTCAAAACCTTGTAGTCATTCCTGCCACATCCCCCTTCTCAACCCTCCCTACTGTTAAAGAGAAAACCACAAGCCCATGTCAGAGAGATTGAGCAAACATCATGCCACACCAAGGGTCAGCAGAGCTGCAGAGTGGTAGCTGAGAGTGACACTAATGCCTGAATTATTTTTATCACATCTCTTAATTGAGCTGAGAGTCTGATCAAAAGGGGGGAATTGTAAAGAGAAAACAACAGGCTCAAAATGGCCTCACTCATGCTAAAAACACATGATGCCAAACCTAGGTTTAATACCTGATCCAGTTGCAGTTTCATCCTCTCCCAGAAACACAATCTTGATCAACTAGTTGGGAACTTTCTGGTTAACACCAAGGAGGTGACCTGTTACTGCAGGCACTCTCTGTCCTGGGACTCCATAGAAAGAGGAGGCGATCTGCATGATAAAAACCCTTCCTGATCTCTTCCCCTAGAAAAGGTGTCCTGGCCTACATATTCAGGTGAATTTTGGTTTTTAACACTGCCAATTACTAGGTAAATATTCTCAATTTTATGTGGTGGTGTTTTCCATTGGTCACATTTTTCCATTCTCTTGCCAACACCCACATTCCCATTGCTTATTGCTAGACAGCTGCAGCTTTCCTAACTTCTAAACACTGCCGTCCCACTACTACTTCTCAGTCTCAGCACAAGAAACTGTAAGCAACCTTAGGTATCATTCAGTCAGCTGATCTACAAACCAGCTAACACATCAGAGTCACCACAGGAGCTTGTTAAAAATATGGATGCCAAGGATACTGCCCAGACCTGGAACCTGTAGGTCTAGTGACCAATTTAATCCGCCTCAACTTGCCTCCCACTCCCACATTGTTCCTGGATTTAGATGTAGAGTTATTCTCATTTATAGATAACCGAGGCCCCCGAGAAAGAGTGCTTGTCTTGGTGTCATGGGAAGTTAACTGGAGATCCAGTGTCAGAGTTCTTGTCCTCTTGAGCACAGCCTTGATCATGCCTCTTCCCAATCAGAAGCTTTTGTTGGCTACCCCCTGCTTTTAGGATAAAGCCCAAATCCTTGAGCTTGGCATTTAAGGCCCTCTATGACCTGTTTCCAGACTCAGTTTCTCAATTTCAGAGCCCAAATTTGCCTCTTATCTTGGGTTCTCTGTGTCTTGGCCCCACTCTGCACGTGGCCCTCTAGTTGTGCCCCTGCTCAACCCTGACATGCCCTTTGCTCCAGTGCCCACCAGCTGAAATTCCACCAGGGTCTGTCCCTTTAGGTTCTGCATATAACATAAAATTTCTCATCTTAACCATTTTGTGGCAGTACAAGGGGCTGAAATCTCCACTCCTGTCAGGAATAGTAATTAGAGTGAGGTCAGAGCCATAACCAGCTTTTCCCACCCCTGCATTTAGAAGAAATCTGGACTCAGCAAACTTACTGAGTAGCAACACAGACTTAAACACAGAGCTGCTGTGCTGAGATGACGAGCCTGGAGTTGCCACTCAACCCTGGCCTGTGGATCAAATACAGACACAAGTGAGGCCCGGAAAATTCCCACTTGGTAAGTTCTTCCAGAGGGCTAAGAGAAATACTAACCGGCACAGCTCTGCCCTAAATACAGGTTTTCCCAGATTGTGGTTTCCATCTTGCCCAGGAAATACATCATTTCAGATGGATGACTCCAACTCAATCTGAGTATTTAGTTACTAAAATCCTCTAGCGATCTAGGCATATTTATATCTGATTATATAGGTAAAGCCTGGCTTTAGTGACCCAGTCTCAGTGTTATCCCCTGGCAGTGGAGCTTTTCCTAGTGAACTGCCTGTTTCACGGTGTGAGGCCTGTGCAGCACGCAGAGCCCCAGCTTAGCTGAGCCCTGTGCTTGGCTTAATGTCCTGCTTTCACCATCGTGGAATTTTAATGATTTCTGAACAAAGGTCTCGGTGTTTTTACTTTGCATCGGTGCTCACACACTGTTTGTCCTGGCTGCCACAGGAGACCTGAGGTGGAACCCAAGATGTTGCATTTCTGACAGGACCCCGGGTGGTACTGAAGCTTCTGGGCCCTGATTGCCCTCTGAGCAGCAAGGTTCAGTGTGAAGTCTGCTGGAGCAGAAACTTGGGAGGAATCTGAAAGGCAGTGTGGAGCCCAGACCCCTGGCAGAGGGGTTACTCACCACAAACTTACGGGAAACATAAATT